GTACTCGGACCGTTGCGGATGAGGTTTTGGGTTTACTGGGTTCTTGTTAAGGGATTTAATTTAAGTTACCATAATAGGGATCTATATTAGGGTTTCTTTACTATGGTACCTTAAATCAAAATCCCTAACAAGAACCCAGGGCTGCTGTATTCACAATATCCCTTACGGCTTCGACATTGTGGTATTTGGGACAAAAATCAACATGAGGTTTGATGTATTTATGGCCTGGAGCTTGTGCCTTGGATCATGGTTCTAAGCGAGATCATCTTATTGAGGGAAAAGAGAAGGAGCAAGCAAAATAACGAATACCCTAAACCCTAAGCCCTTAACATGTGCTCTAGCACGCCCCAACCTACCTATATTGTCACTTAGCAGGCTTCGCAGGAAGATCCTAAAGGAATGGCTGCAAGTATTTCGACGAAACTCGAAAGCAGGAAAAAGACGTAGGGTTTAGGGTTTTGGATTAGATATGAAAAACCCTTTTATGTAAACCTTGACGTATATTACCTTTACAGTAACCCTGATGCTAAGTGTCCAGGAAATTCGCCCATTCCGCCGGGAGGTGCGCTTCCGTGAGGCGTCTTTGTCAAAAAGCCCTGTAGACCCTAAACCCCTGAGTGACATAGGGTTCGGGGCTTACTTATTAGAGATTTAGGCTTAGGGTTTCGGGTTACGGGCCCTTGTTGGTGTTCCTTCTGCTAGGGTTCGGTGAAGCATCGTAAAGCCTACCAGAGTTTGGCATAGGCTTTGGGATGTCTCCGTTTATGGTCCTTCGGGCCAGAGAACCCTATGGGTGCCTGCACCCAAATAGTATATACTTTGGCCTTAAAGTAGCCACTATATAGGTACTCTGGGGAAAAAAAATATACTATTTGAGCACATGGACCCTTAGGTTAGGGGAAGGCTTCCTGCTGTCGCGGTGGCCTGTGGAAGGTCTTGGGCTTGGGGTTTCGTTTTGGATTTCTGCGAAGCTCGCGAAATCATAGGAAGCCCCAAGGCAAAGCTCAAAACGCAGTAGAC